AATCCTAAATCGATGATGCAGGTAGAATTCAGAGCTTGGAAAGTAACACGCGCAGGGCATACCTTGGAAATGAAGCAGTTGTCAGCAGTGCAGTCATTGGTGGGTTCATAGACATCATAGCTGTCATAGAAGATCTCGTCCACAGCGCCCAGCAGGTCCACTCCAGGCTTCAGCTCTGTCTTGGGGTCGTCCTGAACATCAAAATAACAGGAAACGAGACAAAGAGACCAAAACCAGTGAGCATTGGACCGAATTACTACCAAGGGCTGCAATGGTTCGCCTCTGATGCGGATTGGACTCTGTAACTAGGACTCGGGCTGGTCGAGTAGGTCTTACAGTCTCAGCAGAAGTGGAGACGAAGGCAATGAATTTGCCTTTGGCTGCCACGCAGTGGGAGTAGGAACAGCAGAAGACATACCTGCAACGAGAAGGAGATACATTAAGCCAGGCAAAAACACAGGAAGGGGCAGGGACCATTAGGCAGCGAAGGGACAAGCAGATATGCATAAGCATACAGAAAGAAAGTAGTAGGAAATTGAGCAGCTCAGGGCGAGGCATATAGTTGGTCCTTCCTTACATGTCAGCCTTGCGGTTAATCTGCTTCTGAGGAATGATGATTTGCACCGAGTGTGAGTCGTAGGTGTTGGGAATCGGGTGGCTCATAATGGCGATGGCGCGGACCACCTTGCCGACAACCTTCACCTGTAAGACCATCAGTACAGGCAGGAAAAAGGTTCCAGAAACAGTGCAGTATTAATATTTGCTATCAGCCACTGTGATGTTTTCTGTTTTTTTTTTCTTTTCTTTTCCAAAACTGAATAATGCTAGAGAGAGGGCCGCCGGTTGCGCTGTTCTAGGGGAAACAAACATACCTTATCGGGAAGGTAAGACGGGTCGCAGACAACTTTAGCTGTCTTCGCGGTCTCGCCGTCCGATGTCACACCGCATGCCTTGCCACTCTCATCGTACTCCACCTGCCCACAGAAATGGGCCATGAAGTGATACAAATGTATGAGAGCAGCAGAAAACGTAAGAATGTGTAGGCCATGAGAACTGCGAAAACACAGGAATCAGATGGTGCAAGGGAGAAGCTACATAGCCGAGGAGGAGAGGCATGGAGACACAGTCTGATACCTTGCAGCCTGGCTTGGCAAGCATGTACGTCCCTCCGTAGACGGCCGAGAGCCGAGCAAACGCCTGAACCAAAGCAACACAAGATGGAATTAGCAAGTATTCAGACGGAAATACGCATCCCAACAGCAAGCGACGCGACTACAAACCTGAGGCAGCTCGCCGAGGCCATAGAGAGGGTAGATGTATGGGGAGGTACCGCCAAACCGGGCAAGCGACTCGGCATAGAGCTGCGATACAGGCGGGGATGTGCGCAAGGGGAGGAAAAAGGTTAAAATTGGAGGCAGCGAAGAGATAGGCGGGGTGGGAAAGGGTGAGCGAGAAAAGGAGTTAAGAATTGCACGAGGGTGGGGAGAGGGAGAGGAGAAAAATGAAGTAGCAGTCAAAGTGATACCTTGCACCGCGCAATAAGTTCTGTGCCCGGTTTCGCCAGGAAGGACTCGTCTTCGTAAAGGGCCAGCGCATGGCCAATGAAATCGATGCTGTTCTGGTCCAGCCCGAACTTCCTGCCACACAGCAATGCCCAGTAAAACGATTCAGCACAACGCGCACCAAACGAAAGCCGAGGACAAGGCTAAAAATGGAGGAAGGTGGTGGAGATGGAGGGTACGAGAAATCATTGCTTACTCTAGAACGGTCTTAGAGGTAGCCGTGGTGAGATCCATGCCCTGGTGCGTGTTGGGCTTGGCTGGATCATACTCCTGCACGAAAATGAAGAACTTGCGGGCGCGGCCCTTCTCGAAGAATCCCAGCAGCGGCGAGGAGACAGCCTCTACGTCAGTGGCAGGCACCTTGTACACCTGCATGCAGGAACTTACGAAATTAGATAAAATTTCTACAGCACAGGAGACAGCAAGCACGAAGCCTACGAGAAAATAATATCGCCTTACTCTGCCTTGCTTGAAGACATAGCTGCCATCGACAGCCTTGAACTGGAGATACTTGGTAACGTCGGTACGGATGAGCACACGAACCAGCAGGCCGTTCGCCATCATAAACTGAGAGAAAGCACGGGATTTCCCAGGACAAAAAGAAGAGAGGGAAACGCGTCAGGTCATTATGGCTATGCGAGCAAGTGAATGACCGAAGCGAGAAAAACCACGTAGGACGACCAGTTTTCAGAAGTACCTTGGGTGTCATGTCGACATTGTAGTCTCGGCTCGGACCAAGCGAGGTAGGAGGCGTTTCTCCCGGCCTGAACTTTTCAAACAACTGGAGCGGCAGATAACGTGCGGTTGGGAAAGGAAGCGTCAAGAACATAAAAAAAGGCTGTTCGGTACGATGGCCCAAACGAAAATAGAAACGAAAGAGACACGAGAGGTCAATGTATTTTAGCGCATGCTCAGCACGGTCAGGAACCTTACGAACCTGTTTGAGGTTCAGCGATGCACACTCGCCACCATAGTAGTCATTGCGATCCATATGGAGCACCTGCCATTAGAAACGAGAACCAGGACACGACAAGCCCTTCAGAAGTATAACTACAGCGACATAAGAAATTCAACATCTTGCAAGAAGTGGAAGATAAAATCACCTTATACTTGTTGACCGAAAGGAGACCACTGAGAATACATTCCTTCAAACCGGTCCCCAGCACGATGACATCATAAGTTTCATCCATGGCTGGGGTTGTTAGCTACACTCAATGTGACTGCGAGTGAAGCCTGCAGACCCGAACAACGAAGGTTGCAAACTCAATGTCATTGCCAGTCCAGGAAAAAGAGAAGAAACACGCGAACAGCGTAGATCTGGTGAACATGAAAATATGGGGATCGTTTCGAAACATGGCCATGGATAACGACTAATGGAAACACTCGATCTCGAAACCTCACGAGAATTCGTGCTGGGCAGACAGCAACACACGTTTCGAATCACAGCTATGAGTGGCCAGCCATCAGATCTTGTAAAATTTATGGCCTTGTCAGGACTGGTTTCAACGAGCGCCTGATCTAGTGCCCCAAATGTGAATTTACGAAAAGCTAAACGAGCCCCAATGAAAGCGACATCTACCATGGAGAATCTAGCCAGCCAGATCTTGTAAAAAAGTGAAGAGGTAAGATACAAGGGACTGCAAATGCAGAATAAAATAACTAATCGGAAATAAGGCCGTACCATCGCGCTCAGTCACAGCTTTCAAAGGCACATCCAAACTTACTAAGACGAACATCTAGGCAGTGACTAGCAAGCAAGCAATACACGTACAGAGAAAAAGCTGCTCGGCAGAGATTTTCCAAGGGCGAATCTGTCACCACTTCAACCGTGGATTTCTAGTAGTGACAATCAAAGCAGAAGCTAAGCCAGAGTGAGGCAGGAAAATTGGTGGGAGGGTTTGAAATAAATGAGCTTTTCTGAGATTCCTCACATCACAAGCAGGGTTGGGATGGGATGTGGAATGGGGTGGTTCGGAGGGAAGGGATTTGGGCTGGCTGGAGCGAAGTGGTTGCGGCAGGTGGTACACAAATGTGAGGGGGCGGAATCACATATCGAGGAGCCTAGAGGGCAGCAGCAGCAGCAGCAGCCAGACGCAAATTGCTCCGGCACGAGCAGGCTCGGATGTGAAGTCCCGGACTACCCTGATGGCCCCAGTTTGACGGTGAAATATCATGTTTCGCAGGTTTGGTAAGTGGTGTGATACGGATATAATTGAGCCGAGCCTCGGCTACCACGTCATTCGTGAGGAACGACCCTTGATTTCTGCGTTTCCTGAACAAAACATCCCCTTTGCAAACTCTCCCTCTACCGCAAACATACCATGAGTTTTCAGGATTCGCCAATTTTCACAAAGCTGCAAAACACTAACCTACATTTGTTTCCTAGCGAGCAGCCTTCCCAAGAAACCAAATGTTTGATATTTCAAATCCTCACACATCGGACCAAACCTGCTCGCGTCGGGTCCATCTACACTGGTGCTCGCACGACGAACCCTTCATTCATATACAACAGCTTCACTTTCCATGTCTACCAAAGATTTTCAGGCTTAGAACACGATGAGCCAGCCAGCGGCGGGTAGCAGCGCGAATGGCCTTGCGAATGGCACAGCGAGTGGTAGCAAGAGTGAGGGAGGCGCGGGTTGGATCCGCTGCATGGACTTGCGCAATTTCATGTGCCACGAGGCACTCCACGTGGACTTTATCCGCCACGTCAACTTCATTACTGGTTCTAACGGAAGTGCGTGAGGAACCCGGAGCCGCGCATTAATAAGGCCGGTCAAGTTAGCGAAACTAGTGATTTTTACACAGCGAGGTTACCAGTCCTTGGCGTTAATGCTATATAACAGTCACTTTTGAGAATTCTCAAGAGCGCAAGAGGTTGTACCGTTCTCTAACCTGCGTATCCTGAGTGCATTTTCACCCGTTTATCTCTATCTCGTGTCCTTGTCTCTCTCCGCGCAATCAGGCGGCAAGAGCGCGGTGCTGACGGGTCTGTGCGTGGCGTTCGGCACGCGAGCGCGTACGACGAACCGCGCGTCCGCCATCAAGGACTTCATTCGCACCGGATGCAGGTGCTCACTCCCACCACCACCCCATCACCACCCCACCACACACCACCACCCCACCACCACACAACACCACCCCAGCACCACCACGATCAGACTGTTCTTTCGACGTGTCTTAGGAAGATGCTTTTTTTAAAAAAAAATCTTAGTTGGAACTCTTGTATCTTATGAATGGAGGTGACGTCCTACTGCATCACTCATATCTCCTGCTACCGTCTGTGTCTGCATCGCATACACCTCCACCCTTCTCCCAACCCATCCTTTCTGCTGCTGCCTCCCGCCCTCATCCCTTACCGTTCTCCCACTCATGCTTCCTGCCTCGCTTTTTCCCCCTCCCCGCCTCTGTTTCTCCCCTTCCGCGATCCCCTCCGCCATGCCCCCGTCCGCGCATCCGCCATCCCCCCCCTCCGCCCCACACCCCCCTCACTCCTGCAGCGCGGCGGTGGTGAGCGTGGAGCTGAACAACGAGGGCGAGGAGGCGTTTCGCCCTGACGAGTTTGGCCCGCGCCTGACTGTGGAGCGCCGCATCACTGACAACGGCTCCTCCACGCTCGCCCTCAAGGACTTCCGAGGTGCGTGCTGCTGGCGAGGGGAACTGAAGGGCGGACATGGGGGAAAAGCGTGAAGAGCGGAGGGCGGAACAGTGTGATACTTGTGAGGGTGTGACAGGGGTCGAGGCAAAGGGGTTGAAAGATGCATGATTGTGGCGAAGGATCATGTGCCATGCTTCATGCTTCATGCTTCATGCTTCATGCTTCATGTTTCATGCTTCATGTTTCATGCTTCGTGCTTCATGCTTCATGCTTCATGCTTCATGCTTCATGTTTCATGCTTCATGTTTCATGCTTCATGCTTCATGCTTCATGCTTCATGCTTCATGCTTCATGCTTCATGCTTCATGTTTCATGCTTCATGCTTCATGCTTCATGCTTCATGCTTCATGTTTCATGCTTCATGTTTCATGCTTCATGTTTCATGCTTCATGCTTCATGCTTCATGCTTCATGCTTCATGTTTCATGCTTCATGTTTCATGCTTCATGTTTCATGCTTCATGCTTCATGCTTCATGCTTCATGTTTCATGCTTCATGTTTCATGCTTCATGTTTCATGCTTCATGCTTCATGCTTCATGCTTCATGTTTCATGCTTCATGTTTCATGCTTCATGTTTCATGCTTCATGCTTCATGCTTCATGCTTCATGTTTCATGCTTCATGTTTCATGCTTCATGCTTCATGCTTCATGCTTCATGCTTCATGTTTCATGCTTCATGTTTCATGCTTCATGTTTCATGCTTCATGCTTCATGCTTCATGCTTCATGCTTCATGCTTCATGCTTCATGCTTCATGTTTCATGCTTCATGTTTCATGCTTCATGCTTCATGCTTCATGCTTCATGCTTCATGCTTCATGCTTCATGTTTCATGCTTCATGTTTCATGCTTCATGTTTCATGCTTCATGCTTCATGCTTCATGCTTCATGCTTCATGTTTCATGCTTCATGTTTCATGCTTCATGTTTCATGCTTCATGCTTCATGCTTCATGCTTCATGCTTCATGCTTCATGCTTCATGCTTCATGCTTCATGCTTCATGCTTCATGTTTCATGCTTCATGTTTCATGCTTCATGCTTCATGCTTCATGCTTCATGCTTCATGTTTCATGCTTCATGTTTCATGCTTCATGTTTCATGCTTCATGCTTCATGCTTCATGCTTCATGCTTCATGCTTCATGCTTCATGTTTCATGCTTCATGTTTCATGCTTCATGCTTCATGCTTCATGCTTCATGCTTCATGTTTCATGCTTCATGCTTCATGCTTCATGCTTCATGCTTCATGCTTCATGTTTCATGCTTCATGTTTCATGCTTCATGCTTCATGCTTCATGCTTCATGTTTCATGTCATACATCATGCGCCAAGTGCCATCCATCATATGCAATGTGTCATGCGTCATGTGTCATGTGCCATGTGCCATGTGCCATGCCCCATGCATCATGCATCCTTGTGGCACGGTTTCATGAGCAGGCAGGAAGGTGCGCAGCAAGAGGGAAGACCTGGACGAGCTCACAGCTCATTTCAACGTGAGTAGCCCCCGTAACGCCACCCTTCTTGGGCATCACACAAGTCGTATGGGATGGGAATGAGGAGAGTGGTGGATGACAAGCACAATGCACTGCACTGCACTGCACTTGGGGACATATCTCAGTCACTCCCACACAATCGCAAGTCATGGGGGTGGTGCAATCAGGACTGTGGCACTCACAACAGCTCTTTGCTGCACTGTCAGTCATGATCCTATGCACCGAACTTCATTCACGCTCGTACAAGAGTTGACCTTGGCGTTCTCTTTTTTGTTCTTGCTTGCATGCGTACATATCTTACTGTGGGTTAGGAAGGTCGGATGGAGGTTTCGTTATTTGTTGGGGTAGTGTGTGTGTGTGTGTGTGTGTGTGTGTGTGTGTGTGGTGGAAATTGGATGCGGGGTTGGAGGAAGGAAAGGGGAGGAGGGGGTGTTGGGGCGTGTGTGTGCGTGCATGTGCATGTGCATGTGCATGTGCATGTGTATGAGCGCATTGTTCTCAGTTGGACGTGGACAATCCATGCATAGTGATGTCCCAGGACAAGAGTCGCGAGTTCCTGCATTCCGGCACGCCCAAAGACAAGTACAAGGTGTGCTACCTGCAAGCACCTACCCACCTTCCTCAACTTCTCACCTTGCCCGCCCTCGTAAAACCGCTCCCAGTTTTCCTGCTGCTTACCTTGCTATGCGACTCCGTTTCCCTATCCTTCCTTGGTATGCTCTTTTCCCACGTTTCTTACCCCCGCCCGACCTGTCATTTCCACCTCAACCTCTTGAAGTCCCCACAGCGACCCACAGCCTTCCATACTTCGCCTACTCTTCCGCATTTCGGCACTTGCTCATCTCTCTCTATTCCAATTTCTCCCACTCCCCCACCCTTACTCTTCCCACCCATCCCCATTTCCTCCTGTTGCCCAAACCCTTCCCTTTCCTCCGAACCCACCCACCCACCCAACCCCATTCCCCTCCCAACCCACCCACCCACACACCCCGCGCATGCAGTTCTTCATCAAGGCCACTCTGCTGGAAAAGGTCTCGGCGCGTCTGGGCAGCATCTCAGGGCGGCTGGTGGTGTGCCGGCGGCAGATAGGAGAAGCAGAGACGGCGCTGGGGCCCTTAGAGGAGAAGGCGCGGCAGGCGGAGCAGCAGGTGCGCGAGCTGGAGGAGGCGGAGAGCCGCGGGCAGGAGGCGGACCGCGTGACAAAGCAGCTGGCGTGGGCGTACGTGCACGAGGCGGAGCAAGAGGTGGAGGACGCGGAGAGGGCCAAGCGCGAGGCGCAGGAGAGGGTCGCGGAGCTTGAGGAGCGCCTGGCTACCGCACAGGTGGGTGGGCGTGTTTTAGTCATTTCTGAGAAGGGCGCCTGGCTGCTGCGCAGAGGGGTGGGGGCCTTGGAAAGGGTGGAATGGAAGGAGGGAAGTGGGGAGAATTGGAAAAGTTGGGGATGGAGGATGGGCGGGTGAAGGGCTGAGGGCGGGGTTGTGATGTGGGTGAGATGGTGGGAGTGGAGGGAGTGTGCATGGGTATGGGTGGTGTGTGGATGGATGGAGACGAATCTGTACTCTCCGCTAGGGCTCCAGCCTTCAAGTGCACGAGATATACAAACACTCGCCTTCTCCTTCTCTCTGTTTCCCTCTACTCTCTCCTCCTCCCCATATTCCCTTCTCCCCTTCACCCCTCTCTCCTCTCCCCTTTCCTCCCACTTCCGCCCTTCCCTTTCCCCGGTGGTGCGTGCGTGCGTGGGCATGAGCAGAGTCGGGTGGAGACGGTGCAGCAGCAGATGGAGCAGCACATGGGGCGCGTGAAGGGGTGCAGCAACGAGGTGGAGCGCGTCAAGGCCGAGCAGGACCGCTTCAGGCAGCAGCTCGCGCAGGTCTGAGAGAGAGGAAGAGAGAGAGAAGGGAGGGGAGAGGGGTGGGTGCACGTGGGAGGGGGGAGGGAAGGGGGAGCGGAAGGGGAAGGGGAGGGGATGGGGAGGGAAGGGAGAGGAGAGGGAAGAGGGGGGGCAGGGGAGGGGGGGGAGAGAATAACGCTGGGCCGAGGGAAGGGGGTGGGAAGATGAGGGGTGGGAGTTATGGAGACAGAATGGATGATGGTATGTGCCTCGCATGTGTGCCTTGGGGCCACTAGGATAAGGGGATAATTGGATGTATGTGGCCAAAATAAGGAAAACGTGGTTGGCAAATGTTGACTGTTGAGTGCATATCTGATAATTTCTTCTTCCTCTCGGTTCCCCCCCCATCCCCTCCTCCCAACCCCATTATCCACGCCCCTCCCTTCCCCTCTCCTGTCAATTTAAAAGTAGAGTCGGCATTGCACTACTTGAAGTCCCCAACCCTCCAGCAACCTTCTCCCTTCCCCATTCGTGCTGCCTCCTCTTTGCACGCTCCTCCGCCTCCCACCCTCACCTTTCATCCCCCACCAATCGCCACACGGGCACCCACACTCTCCCACTACCTCACCCTGCAGGCGTCGCGGCAGCGCGGCACAGTGGAGGCAGCGTGTGTGCGGCTCGAGCGCTCGGTGGAGGATAAGAAGCAGCGAGCGCAGGAGCTCAGCGCGCGTATCCAGGAGCTTCAGGACCGAGCCAGCAGGAACTCACAGGTGGGCGCACCGGCGCACAAGCGCACAGGCGGAGGGAGGGGAAGGGTGGAGAAGAGAGGGAAAGCTGGAGGGAATTGCGAGAAAGGGGAGATGAGGGGTGGGTGAAAGGGAGCGCGAGGGGGGTGTGGGGTGGGGGATGCAAGATGCGTTTCTTCTTCCTGAGTTCTTGTTTCCCCACATGCATGCACTCCTGCCTTTTCCACTTGTGATAAGTCGAGCTTTGAGTCGACTCAAAACTCGACGTCTCCCCACATGCATGCACTCCTGCTTTTTCCACTTGTGATAAGTCGAATTTTGAGTCGACTCAAAACTCGACGTTTCCCCACATGCATGCACTCCTGCTTTTTCCACTTGGCTCCATTCTCTGTGATACATTCTCTGGCGTCTGTGCTGTGCTGTGTGTATGCGCTCAGTGCATAGCTCTGTGCTCCCCTCGCCCCTGCCCGCACATTCCCAGGCGGATCGGTCGCTGCGGGATGCTGAGGTGGCAGCAAAGCAGAGCCAGGTGGAGGAGGCAAAGGAGAGGCTCGACAGGTCAGTCCAGTCCAGTCCAGTCCAGTCCAGTCCACCCTTTGTCAGTCTTTCGCGTGCTCTTTGGTGCTACTACAGAGGACAAACGCATCGATAGTACACGTGTGAGTGTGCATGCAGCACCCTTGCATCCGTCTCTCTTTCCCATCAAAATCCATCTCTCTCGCGTGCATGGGATTGTCTGTGGGCAGTGTGAATCGCGAGCTGCAGACGGCGCAGGGGGGGATGAGGGAGACAGAGGCCGAGCAGGAGGCTCTGATGAAACAGGTGCGGTGCATAAAGAAAGCTGGAGAAAAAGAGGTGGACGCTTTTAGATTGACTTTTGAGTCGACTCAATAGTCGAGTCGACTCAAAAGTCAACAGGTGCGGTGCATAGAGAAAGCTGGAGAAAAAGAGGTGGACGCTGTTAGATTGACTTTTGAGTCGACTCAATAGTCCAGTCGACTCAAAAGTCAACAGGTGCGGTGCATAGAGAAAGCTGGAGAAAAAGTGGTGGGCGGTGTTAGATTCCAGTGCTACGAGGATAGAACCATATTGTTGTTAGTTAGGGGCTCAGAACCCTCCTCGGCTCTTCATCTCCTCCTCATCGTCGTCGTCGTCCTCCTCCTCCTCCTGCTCCTCCTTCTCTCCTCCCATCAACCCCCCCCCCCTCCCTCCCTTTCTACCCATCATGAACGTGACCTTCTTGACCTCTTTTCCTCCCCAACTCGGACCCCGTCCATGCCTTCTGAACCTGACCCCAGTATGCCCCAACTCCCCCTCCCTCTGCTCTACATCCTCGCTTCTCCCTCATTCGCCTCCCCCGTCCTCTCCCTTTCCCTCTCCCGCACTCTCCCATCCTGTTGCCCCTGCAGGAGGATGAAGCACGGGCCAGGGCGAGGGACGTGCAGGCGTGGCTGAGGCGGCGGCGAGATGAGGCCAGGGACAAGGTACAACTGCTGTGGGCATGGTGTGTGTGCTGCTGCGTGGTGTGGTGTGGTGTGGTGTGGTGTGGTGTGGTGTGCGTGCGGCACGGCTGACGTGAGATATGTGTGGCATGGCGTGACGTGACATGACATATGTGGCGGTGTGCGTGCGGCATGCATGGCACACCGCACTCCACACGTCCATGTCAGTGTCAGTGTCAGTGTCAGTGTTGACACTCGCCTCAAGCCTCCAATGTCATGCCGCTCTCCGCCTGTTGGTCCGCGCTGCACTTGCACTTGTTCTTCCCGCCCTGCATCTTGTCTGCTGTGATAAGCAATGCTCCTCCTGTCTTCGTGGTTTTACTTGTGTGCTATGCTGTGCTGTCTTGTGCTGTGATGTTCTGTGCTGTCTTGTGCTGTGATGTTCTGTGCTGTCTTGTGCTGTGATGTGCTGTGCTGTTCTGTTGCGCTGTGCTGTGCTGTGCTGTAATCTGTTGTCTTGTGCTCTGCTGTGCGGTGCTGTGAGACAGCTGACGGCATTCGGAGGTCAAAAGGTGACGCAGCTGCTGAGGCAAATAGAGATGAACATTGGGAGGTTCAGGCGACCACCCATCGGCCCCATCGGAGCTCATCTGGTGATTCCCCATGCCCATCATGCCCCATGCCTTCCATAACGCTCCCTTCCATCTCACCTTTATCTATGCTGCCCTCCAAACCTTCATCCCCATTTCTCTCTCAAATGCTGCTTGGAGCCGCTTCGAAGCACTCTTCGTCCGCTCGGTCTCCCTCCATACTCTCCTCTGCCTCCCCCTTCGTTTCTGCCACACTTTCTCTCCCTCCTCCAACCCTCCCCCCTCTCTTCCCTCCCGGTCCTCCGCCCAGTCGTTGGAGAGGAGTCAGCCCACCACAGTGACTACAGTCTGGCGTGTTTTGAGTCGACTCAAAACACACCTCAGCCCACCACAGTGACTACAGTCTGGCGTGTTTTGAGTCGACTCAAAACACACCTCAGCCCACCACAGTGACTACAGTCTGGCAGGAGAGGTGCCAGTGGACCGCTGCTGTCTACATCCGAGCCGACTCAACAGGAGTTTCGACCACCCCCCTTCCGTGTCCGTCTCCCCCACTCCTCCCCCTCTCTGTCCTCCCCCAGTCATTGGAGTCAGCGCACTACAGTCTGGTAGTGGAGCTGGCGGTGGGGCGGAGATTGGACTCCTTCACAGTCTCATGTCTCAAGGACTATCACGCTCTCGTTCAACCATTTCCCGTCTGTGCCCTCTCGGCCCCCCCCACTTCCATACTCCCCTCGCCTTCTCTTCCCCCTCTCCTCCCTCTCTTCCCTTTCTCTTTTCCCCACACTCTCCCCCCATTCCCCCCTTCACACCCTCTTCCCCCCGCCAGTCATTGGAGTCAGCGCACTACAGTATGGCAGTGGAGGTGGCGGTGGGGCGAATGCTGGACTCCTTCATAGTGTCCTGTCTTGAGGACTACCATGTGCTCAAGCGCCTTGCAGCCTCCATCGGCTTACAAAGCCTCAACGTTGTTACTTACGGCTTTGACCTCCCCCCGTACGCCCACTTTTACCCTTCCCTCCCCGTATACCCTCTCTCCTCTCCACCACCCTCTCCTCTTGTCTTCGCTCTCTGCCCCACTCTTTCTTCCCACTTGGTTCTTATTGCCATTATTCCCAGCACATGTTGCCATTATCCCCCCCTCTGAAGGTATCTCAAACCCCTTCCTCCGTGACCCTCGTTTTGAATCGATCCTCTCTAAAAACAAACACATACTCCTCCACCTCCCCCCTTTCCGCCTGACTTCTTGACCACCGCAGCCGTATCCTTTCCTCTGCCCGCTTCCTCCTGCTGCAGCATAGAGCCTCCCACACACGTGCTGCCACCGGAGGGGCTTGTGACCGTGCTGTCCGTGCTCAACATCGCCAACCCTGTCGTGCGCAACGTGCTCATCGACCAGGTACGCCCGAGCTGAGCCGATTCTTGAGGCACCTCAACTCAGAACATGTGATTGTGCTGTTCGTGCTCTCAATATCTCCACCCATCGTGCGCAACGTGCTCGTCGACCAGGTACGCCCGAGCCATTTCCTCAATGCCTGCCCCTATCGTGCCGTGCCCTCTTCCCCTCTCCCCTCACGCTCTCTCCCTCCCTTTCCTCTCCTCTCTCTGTCTGCGTCTCCCACCAGGGAGGAGTGGAGACGACGGTGCTAGTGCGGGACTTTGACGAGGGCAAGGACGTGGCGTTCAGCCGAGCGCTCGCATCCCGCATCAGGGAGTGCATCACGCAAGACGGCATGCGCCTGTCCGTGCCTCTCCTCTCCTCTCCTCTCCTCTCCTCTCCTCTCCTCTCCTCTCCTCTCTCCTCTCCTCTCCTCTCCTCTCTTCTCTCCTCATCCTCTCCTCTCCTGTCCTCTCCCTCTCCCCTTCTCTCCTCTCCCCTCCTCTCCTTTCCCTCTATCCATCCATCACTTTCCTACACGTTGCTCCCATCCGCGCTTCCACTGCCTGCGATTTTGTTCGTTTTTCTGCTTCTATGTTTTGTTTCTCTGCCCTTCGCACGCCCCCCTGCCCTCTTGCCTCTTTCTCTTTCCTTCCTTTTACCCCTGCCAGCATTGCAACATTCTTACCGAATCACCGCTCTCTCCTCTTCCCAAACACATCCAACCCCACCGGGAGGCACCCACACGTGCCCACCCCACCCATCGCCCCAACCCATGGCTAACTTACCATGCAACTGCAACCTGCGAGGCAATTTTTGGAATCGCCAAATTTTCACTCCCACCTTCGCTCCCGCCCCACCCACCCTCAACTCTACCATCCCTTCAGCTTCATGCGAGGCAACCAGGAGGTGAGCCTGCCGTGCAAGCGCAACATGAGGGGCGGCAGGCTGGGGTGCAACCTGGAGGAGGACGAGGCCAAGGGGCGCGAGGAGGAAGAGCGCCTGCTCTCCTCCGCGGAGCAATTCCGCAGGCAGAGGGAGGCAGGGGAGCGGGAGCTGCGGCGCAAGAGGAACCAGGTGCAGCAGCTGCAGATAGCGCAGGGCGACGCGGAGCGTGTGGTGCGCATGGCTCAGATTGAGCTGCGGGAGGTGCGGCACCAGATGCTGGCTGCGCAGCAGTTTGAGTCGCAGGTCAACGTGTCCGACCTGGAAGAGGAGCTGGAGGTGCGTGCTGGGGGGGAAGGAGAGGATTGGAGGGGAAGGGGAAATAACGGGGAAAGGGGAAGGGGAGGTTTGAGGTGGGTGGGAAGCTATAAGAGCGGAGGGGATTGATGGGGATGTAAGGTGTGTGTGAAGGAAATGGAGGAGGGGGAGTGAAACAGGAGAGGGGTGGGGCAGAGGGAGCTGAGTTTGTAGTGGACAATGAGGGGGTGGGTGAAGGAGGGGGAGAGGCGGGCTGCTCAGGGGGCGTGTACAGTGCTCTACAGTTCAGGGGCAGGTGCAATTTAGCTCAGCAAAATGTGGGAAAGTTCTGTAAGTTGTCTACAGGAGATGAACGCAAGAGTGGGAACTCAAAACAACTCCGTGCTGTTTGCTGCTGTGTGGATGGCAGCGTGTGGAGGCGGAGGCAGAAACAGAGAGGGCGTCACTGGAAGAGCAGAAGGGGCGACTGGAGGAGGCAAAGGAGGAGGAGCGGGTGGTGCTGGGGAACAAGGGACGACTTGAAGGTGCGAGGGAGTGAGGGTGCGAGGGAGGGGAGAACGAGAGTTTTGCGTTCAGTGGGTGAGAAAGGGCAGGCGTGCGAGAGTGTGTGTCTGTGGGATTTGCAGTTGCTGCTGGCACGACCAAAAGAGGATTGTAGCACCGTGATAGCAAATGTAACTCATGGCAGCAGGACATGTGGATGGGTTTGCTCCCATTGCCATCACCAAGAGTCCACCCGGTTCAAAGAAACTCACCCCAAAAATCATTTTCTCCTCCTCTTCCGCGTTCTCTGTTTCCCATCCCCTTTTGTACCCTCACCTTCCTCGTTTACCTGGTCTCCCTCTCTTTCCCGCACCTTGCTCACTCCTCCTCCCCTCTGTCTGTGTGTCCGTCACCTGTGTGATTGCCTCTGTGTGCGTGTGTTTGCTACCAGAGGAGCTGAGGGCGTTGGACGAGGCGTTGGGAGGGGCCATGGAGCGGATGGATCACCTCACCACACAGCAGCGCCGCATGCAGGCGGTGCGTCGCTTCCCCTCCCTCGCCCCATCCGTTTCCCCCTCCCTTTACCTTTTGAGTCGACTCAAAAGTCACCATGCAGCGGTTGGATGGATCACCTCACCACACAGCAGCGCCGCATGCAGGCGGTGCGTCGCTTCCCCTCCCTCGCCCCATCCGTTTCCCCCTCCCTTTACCTTTTGAGTCGACTCAAAAGTCACCATGCAGCGGTTGGATGGATCACCTCACCACACAGCAGCGCCGCATGCAGGCGGTGCGTCGCTTCCCCTCCCTCGCCCCATCCGTTTCCCCCTCCCTTTACCTTTTGAGTCGACTCAAAAGTCACCATGCAGCGGTTGGATGGATCACCTCACCACACAGCAGCGCCGCATGCAGGCGGTGCGTCGCTTCCCCTCCCTCGCCCCATCCGTTTCCCCCTCCCTTTACCTTTTGAGTCGACTCAAAAGTCACCATGCAGCGGTTGGATGGATCACCTCACCACACAGCAGCGCCGCATGCAGGCGGTGCGTCGCTTCCCCTCCCTCGCCCCATCCGTTTCCCCCTCCCTTTACCTTTTGAGTCGACTCAAAAGTCACCATGCAGCGGTTGGATGGATCACCTCACCACACAGCAGCGCCGCATGCAGGCGGTGCGATGCCTCTCCCTCCCTCGCCCCTTCCGTTTCCCTCTCCCTTTCCCTCTTCCTCTCCCTCTGCTGCTCCCTCTCCCTCTCTCTCTTCCCCTCTCCCTTGCCCGGGCCTCTCCCTCTCCCTCTCCTTTGCCTGCCTCACCAAAACACACTCAAGTAGGCTGTTGATTCTCGTGAGAATGTTGGTTGACCCAGGGAGTCTCGTGCGTGCGTGCGTGTGTGCATTTCTGTGACCATGCATATGACCATGCACGCGTGTTTGCGTGCTGCATGCCTTTGTGCAATGTTCACATACACGTGTGCATGCATGCATTGCAGGCAGTGAAGCGGCTAACAGACGATCTGCAGCGCCTGCAACACAGTGTAGCAGCAAGCGACGCCGAAATAGAGCACAAGAGGAGCACCGCACAGGTGGTCACCCTAAACCTTAACACCGAAACCCTAAATCCTTCCCAATCAAGTTTATCCAGACAGAGACGTCCCCGTTCACGCCCTCTCTCACTCTCTTTTGCGTTTGCGCATCTTTTTCACCCTACTCCTTCCCCCTCCCTTCACTCCCCCTCCTCCTCTTTAATCCACGTCCTGCATCCCCTTTCCCCTCTCCCCCGTACCCTCTCTCCCCGCCTTCCAATGCTCCCGTTCCCAGGCGAAGCGGCAGCAGGCGGGGATGGTGTGTGAGGAGGAGGAGGGGCAGCAGGAGGGCGAGGAGGTGATGGACTCAGAGGACCTGAGGAAGCGCCTCATGCGCCTGCGCGCCGAGCTGCCCCGGGACTACCAGGCCGTGTGAGTGTGCGACAGGGGGGTAGGGAGGGGCGGGCCTGTGATGGAGTAAAGGGGGAAGAAGGGAGCAGTGTATTGTTCGCCTTCGCCTGCACGCCGAGCTGCCCAAGGACTATCAGGCTGTGTGAGACATGGAGGGGAGGGACGGATGGGGTGTGGCGTGGGGGAGCGAGGGCAAGGGGTGTGAGAGTGATGGAGGGTTTGTTGCCTAGGGAATGGAGAAGCTGGGAGTAGCGCCTCATTCACCGCGCCAAGCCAAGCTGCCCCGGGTCTATCAGGCCGTGTGGGACAGGAAGGGGGCAGTTGGGGATAAACTGGAGGAGTGGAACCAGTTATAGAGAACATTCCTATCGGAACATTTCTGATTAGAAATGCAGTCTTTGTAGGGTGGAAATTTCCTGCTTCATTGCAAATTTCGTGCACGAGTCATGCATGCCACGAATCTGTTACCTCGCTTGTTATCTCAGCTGCCAAGTATGTGTTGCTCAACCCAGAAGAACGAACGACCCCTCTTTTATGTAGGAGCTGATGGGCTGAATCGCGATTATGTATCAGAATGTGCAAGCAACGCAAGTCGAACCTGCTGCTTTTCACTCAGTCTCTTCTCTCTCTTACTCCGTCGTTCCCGCCGCTGGCTGTCCCCGCAGGCTGGCACCGGAGCGAAAGGAGGAGCTGCAGCACAGGGCACAGAAGCTGAGGGGGCGCTACACCGCCACCAGCAACACCATCCAACTCATTTCACTCCGCCACGAGGTGAGCATGCGCATGCCGGAATGTGGGGGGAGGGGGGAGGGGCGGGGGGCAGGGGGAGGGTGCTGCAAAGCGTATAGATCCCATTTTCTACTTCTTGTTGTTATTGTTCCTGGTGAGAAGGCAACGTTCAAGCACTGGGTTATCAACCTTGTTTGAAATTCTTCTTCTGCCTTCCATCCTTCCGTCCGTCCGTCCATCCATCCATCCATCCATCCATCCATCCATCCATCCATCCATCCATCCATCCATCCATCCATCCATCCATCCATCCATCCATCCATCCATCCATCCATCCATCCATCCATCCATCCATCCATCCATCCATCCATCCATCCATCCATCCATCCATCCATCCATCCATCCATCCATCCATCCATCCATCCATCCATCCATCCATCCATCCATCCATCCATCCACCCACCCTAACCACCCTTCCATCGATGCATGCGCCCATGCATGGATGGATCGACAGCAATTGGAGAAGTCACTGGGAGTGCGGGTGAATGCGCTCAGGATCGACTCCAACCTGCTGGGGCAGAACCTCGACTGGACGTGAGTGTGCAGGGGTAGCAGGAGTAGGGGTGGGGGTGTTCAGGAGAGGGAGAAGGGGGGGAGAAGAAGGGAAGGAAGAGTGGGGCACATTATATGCAGGCAGGGGAAGTTTTAGTAAGATGTGCAGTAGTTGGGGGGGTATGGAAGATGGGAATGGAACATTGAGCATGCAGCTGGGAATTGGGTCATGGGAGTGAGCAACTAAAATTTGAGCTGCCATCTCTCATAGAGGTGACCTTCCACCCTCACCAGCATGCGTCTTCTCTTCCTCTCGCATGTGATCTACCCATTCACGTCCGTCTCCGCACGTCTCCCTTCTTTTACCGAAGCACCCTCTTAACCCTCCCCCATCTCCCCTCCCCCAACGTCCTGTGTCTCCCGGGGAGCAGGTTTCAGGATCATCTGAGCAGGAAGCGCTACACGGGGCATGTGTTGGTTGACCATACCCAGGGCACACTCACTCTCGAGGTGCACTTAGAAAGGGGGGGTGAACGATTGGTTGGTGGGCAATTAGTGGGTTGGGGGATGGAAAAGGGCAATGAGTGGTTGGGGGGGGGAATTAGTGGTTGGGAGATGAGATGTCCACTGCTGTGGGGTGAGTGGTTTGAATGCCGTTTTTTTCTCAAATACTGCCATTTTTACCGCTCATCTGTTCTCCATCTGTCTCTCCTTCCCTCTTCCTCGCCGCCTTCTCCCCCCTTCCCCCCATTGTCCCACTGCCGACGTACCTCAGATCAACACATCCACTGGCGCGGTCACTGATGTTAAAGCCCTATCAGGTAATGAGATGTCTTGTGACGACAGCATGTCATCACCACCCCCCCTCCCCTGTCAAATGCCGTCTCCGCTCTGCCCTCTCTGGTGTGAGGGGAGATGCTGATGAGAGGAGGGATGGTGATGAAAGAAGGGGGGTCGGGATGCTAATATCAGATCAGAGATGTCAAAAGTGATGCTTGGGTGATGTTCTCAAGAGGAAGGGTCTGGCATTGGGAATGAGTAGCTTCGTCAAAAGGTTAAGATGGGCACTTATGCCACGAGGGGCTGCTATCCTAGTGCATGTGTATTTGCACCTGCTCTGCGTGCTGCTCCCATCTTTACCTCCCAGTCTCTGACCCCTGCCACACGCACACCCGTGCCACGCACGCGCACTCTGCCACGTCTTCCTTTTCACTTGCGCCAGCCCTCTCTCACACTCTATTGGACCCCCCCTTACCCCCTTTCCCCCTCTGCGCGCTGCTGTCAGGCGGGGAGCGGTCGTTTTCAACGCTGTGCTTTGCGCTGTCACTGCACCAGCTCACAGAGGCACCAGTGCGCGCCATGGACGAGTTTGACATCTTCATGGTGAGTCTAGGCACCTCGTTGAGTTGGTGAGCAAGCTTTGCTTGCCAAGGACAAGGTAAGCCACACACTGTCCCTCCTCACAATACAGAGCCACCCGTGCGTGCCATGGACGAGTTTGACATCTTCATGGTGAGTCTAGTCACCTCGTTTGGTCATGGTAAGTCACACACACTCCTTTAAATGGCAGCAGTGGTGTTCCGTGACATGACATTGGGTGACATGGAACTGTGGCATGGCATTTTGTGTTTGGCATGGCGTGGCATGGCATGGCATGGCATGGCATGACATGACATGACATGACATGACATGACATGACATGACATGACATGACATGACATGACATGACATGACATGACATGACATGACATGACATGGCAGGATAACATCACGCGCAAGATCTGTCTTCGGCATGCGGTGGATTTCGCCATCAGCAACGGCAGCCAGTGGATATTCATCACACCACACGACATCACGTATGTCCCTTACTTCCCTCAACCTTTTATGTTCTGCAAAGTGGATGTGGTTGCTTTGTTTATACATCATTCATGTGATATTGTCTGTGTTGTTGCTGTGGTTTATTCATTTGATCATGTCTGTGCTGTTCTCGTGGTTTATGTCCCCGTTGGGCTTGTGCAGTGAGGTGGACGACGGGCCTCAGGTGAAGAAGCAAAGGATGCACCCACCACGCCCGTCAGAATAGGCCTACCGGTCCATAACCCAGCTGTCTAACAAATCCTTTTACTGACTTCATTCCTTTGTAACCAACCAGTGGATAATCATCAGCACCTTGGTCTTTTTGTTCCTCAGTGTTGACACAGCTTTTCATTAGTTCAGAGCTTGTCAAATGCTGTACTGAGGCAAGTAGCGTGGATACTGTATTCCCAGGGTTTCTATACTACCTACCTACTACTATTGGTTATGCTAAGGGTACATTCCGCTCTGGACACTTTTTCAAAGAAAGTGTCTGAATCGATTGTGATGCGTACTTACAGCATATGCTGCCAGGTGTCCGAATTCCGGACGGCTCTTGTTTGTCGCAAAAAAAATATTTTTCATTGGGTGGCGTGAAACGCGGAACTGTCGCGGGCTAATTGCACGCCAACTCAACACACACCAGCCATCGCACGCGGTGCCAAATGTCAATCTACCGGTATGCTGAATGTACCTGGTCATCATTCTACAGTGACGGATTTCAGTAGCTACGCGTACTCTGAAACGTTATTGGCCACACAAGGCTCCTTCGAAATTGTTACCGTAACCATCCCAATCATTTCGCGCCCGCAGACCTTCCGCCCAGGTGCGTGTGATGCGCAGGTTGAGTGGGCAACTCACACAACGGACCAATCACATTCCTTCACACAAAATTGTCGGGATGTCGCCGTGGGTCGCAGTAAATCGATCGATTGGGACATGAAGTTCCGAGACATTTGAGGGCGACGCGGGCCAAAAGTGATTCGGACACCTTCGAGAAAGTGTCCACAACGGAATGCACCCAAGTAGGAAGGGAATATATTATTTCAGTTGTTGTGTAGTTGCTGGTATGGGTTCAGACAAGTGACGTGCCTGCTGTCAAACATACCGGTAACTCAGATGGTTGTGTGACATAATGTATTTCAATGATGATTATCTGGCTTGTTAGTTCAGCGATTACCAGAAGCAACAAGGTGATCACTTACACATATCATACTAGCTTGACTAGCGCGGCACTCATTACCACAGCAGGGCAACTGGGGTGGCAAACAAGAAATCGCTTCAAGTGATTCTACAAAAAACATCTTCCTGTCCATGGAAGGAGCACAACACAGCTTCAACGAATCAACACTTGTCAGCCTCTCGGCCTCTCAGCCTCTCCGCTGTTGCACTACTCCCTGGTGCTGGCTGCTGTTGCTCAGCGTAGAGTGATCTTGAGCTTCTCCGCTGCCTCCTCTCGTACCTTGGCCTGTTCGCCCATGGAGCACCACAGGATAGACACGGGGCACAAGAAGGGTGAGCAAAGGAATTGCACGTGCGTGCTGTGCACATATATGCCATCTTAACCCCCATCAATCCCCTCATGTATGCCTTACACTCTGGCATCCCCCCTACCCACCCACACCCTGTCCCACCCACCTCCCCTCGAGCTTCCCCGCCACCCCTTCCTGTAACCAGCAGGGGGCACGTGGTATTGCGCCCAACTTGGCATTGCTTGCTGTTATGTTGCTCAAATACAAGAACCCACTAAACCACCCACCCTCACTTCCATTCTCTTCCCTGCGCCCACCCACACGTGCACAGCACACACCTGGATTCGCAGGGAATCTTTGAAAATTCACAAAAAAACCCACTGCAACCACCCACCCTCACTTCCAGTCCATTCCATGTCCACCCTCCCAACCCATGCCCGAAACTCACGTGGATTTTGTTGAGTTCCTCCTCAGTGAGAGATACGTGAAGCGGTTGCAGTGGCTTTTGAGTTGACTCAAAAGTCACATGACTTCCCTGCACCCACCCACCCACCCGTGCAGTGCAGTGCTCTCACCTGGATCTCGTTGATCTCCTCGTCCGTGAGAGAGCGCTCCATGGAGCGATACGTGATGCGGTAGCAGTGGCTCGTCATGCCCTTCTTGTTCGTGAAGTTGTCTATCAGCCGCACCTGCACGCATGGAAAGAGAGGGCGGAAGGGTGGGGGGGGGAGAGAGTGAGAGATGGAGCCGTGGTGCGGGACGGGGGAGGGAGATGGAATCAAGAGGATGGCCTGTCAGACGAGTCAGGGTTGCCTAGCCATCTGGCCAAAGACGGAGGCTATGCGTGGGAGTAAGGGGCAAGACACCGTATTTAGACAAGAGACATGCAGGATAGGAAAGCTATATGAGAAGATGCCTCTCTATCCATTCCAAACGACCGTCCGCTACACCAAACTCCCCACTTCCTCCTCTCCCCCCTCTCCCTCTCCCCTTCCCTTGCCCCCCCCCCCAACACCTTCCCTCCCTACTTTTCCCGCCTTCCCTCCCCCCCTCTCCCCACCTTCCCTAACACACCCTCCCCCTCCCCGACCACCTCCCCTCCCTCTTTCCCTTCTCCGATGCGCACCTCTTCAGCAAGGTCCCCTGCAAGCCCGCGCACAACCTCACAGAGGTTGTTTTCTGTGAATGATTCGCTCAACCAGAAGCTCATGTCCTTGTAGCACGGCGGGTACTGCTCACCCACACATACGCATACCCCCCCCCCCCTCTCCACACGTGCATACACACACACATGCACACACACACACACACACACACATACATGGGGGCACGCAGCGCAGGGAGCAGAGCAGGTGCAAGCAGCAGAGAGAACGAGCACAGCAAACGGAGGACGTGTTACAGAGGCATGGGCTTGCAGCGAGGCAGAGTGGGGCATGGGGGACGAAGGTAGGGAGGAAGGAGTATGTCTAAGGAACCACTGAGCCAACAAAAAGCGGGTGCTAGAAGATACCAGTGGTGTTAAATTCGCCACCAAAGATGCATGCTCGACAAAAGTGTGGGGGGGAGTAATTTGTGGGTGAGCGGTGTGGGGGGAGAGGAGAGAGAGGGCAGACAGTTGGTGCAAGTATGGGTGTGTGAAAGCATGGGTGCAAGAGGCATGGCAAGGCATGCAAGGGCGGGTGTACCTTGGAGAACGGCTTGAACTTGATGCCCAGCTTGCCATCCTTGAACTGCAGCGGAATGGAAAGAAAGGGAAGCAGGGTGGGAGGGAAGGGACGCCATGAGGGCGGCAAGAAGACAGAGGGCGCTTCAGAAGGCAGATGTCAAAGAGAACCGTGGCCAGGCCCGGCGTTCCAGCTCAATTCGTGCACGACCTAATGAGCCCCCGCCCTCACGGTCCCTCTCCAAGCACCCCTCTCATTCCCCTCCTCACCTACTCTGACCCCCCATCCTCCCTTCTCCCTCCTCTCACAAACAGTGCTTTCCATCAAAACTCTCTCTATCCCCTCCCCTCCCTCCCTCTGTGGTTCACCTGAGTGAGGAAGCGGTCGTCGTTGGACCAGAAGAGGCGGATATCCGGGATGTCAAAGAGCACCATGGCCAGCCGCTCCAGCCCCAGCCCGAACGCCCACGCCTTGCTGCCCGCCAGCCCACAGTTGTCCAGAATCTGCTGCTCCGTCACCCCGCACCCCAGCACCTCCAACCACTGGCCCTGTTGGGGGGGTAGGGGGAGAGGCAACGGGAAAGGGCAAGGGAGAAGCGGAAATGGGATAGGGGAATGAGGAACGGAGCGGTGATGAGATGAAGGCGGAACAAGGAAATGGATGATGCTTATGCATGACTATTTGCTACTCCGTCAACCCGCACCCCAGCACTTCCATCCAGCCACTGGCCCTGTGGGGGGGGAAGGGGAAGGGAAGAGGAGGGGGCGGGAGGTGATGAGTTGAGGCGAAGTAAGGGAGATGATGGCAGCGAGGATGTGTGCAAGTGAGTGTGGTTGCTCACAAGCCCCCAACACACACAGTTGCAGTGCTGCACATACGTGGACCTTGTGAGCGTGCACAAGCGGAGACATGATGGCAGCTGGAGCAGCAGTGGCAGCAGCGGCAGCAGCGGCGGCAGCGCAGCAGCAGCAGCAGCAACAGCAATAGCAGGGCAAGAGTAACCGACCTGGAAGAAGATTTCGAGCTCAAAGGAGGGGTTGGTGAAGGGAAAATATGTGTCCACCCATCGCATCTCCACATCACCTGCTCACAGCACAGCAAAGAAGAGCAGAGAAGAGAAGAGCTCAGCAGTACGCACACGCAGACAGACACCACACATCAGCTTGCTTGCACCAGCTCAGTCACCCAACACCGCCCACCAACCCAGCAACCCACAAGCAATTCAACCAACCAGCCCACCTATACCCCTGCCGCACAACGAAAAACTCCCTCTACTCCGCCCAGTCCCCCGCGCCCAGTCCCCCGCGCCCAGTTCCCCGCGCCCAGTCCCCCGCGCACAGTCCCCCGCGCCCAGTCCCCCGCGCCCAGTCCCCCGCGCCCAGTCCCCCCCGCCCAGTCCCCAGCACCCAGTCCCCAGCACCCAGTCCCCCACCCAGCGCCTCTGCTGAGTCCCCCAGTCCCCTCCCTCCGCCCTGCGCACCAAAGAGGTGTCTGGCGAGGCCCTCGAGCGCCTGCTTAAGCTGCGCCGCCACGAACTCCGTGGGGTCGCCGCCTGCTGCTGCCAGCTCCGACGGGCTGAACACCCGGAAGCCCTCCATCTGTGGTGCAGGGGGGAAAGGGACACGAGGTGGTAAGTGCGTGCGGGTGGAGGGTGTTGGGGAAAAGGAAGGGGGAGAATGAGGGGGAAGGGGTGGAGTGGAGTGGAGGGCAGGAGGGGAAAGGCGTTGGGGGGGTTCAAAGCTGAAAGCGATGCCTGTCTGGAGTGCACGTGGGTAGGTAGGTGGACATGGAAAATTGGTGGGCAGTGAGCACGATGAAAGGCGTTGCTACCAGGCGAAGCAGCAGTGTCGCTCGTCGCTCATGCAACTGAAACCGACTCGTGAAACTGACTCGTGCACGTGCATGTGTGTGTGTGCCTGGCAGACCTGGTGGAAGACGGGGTAGTGAGTGGCATCGATGGCATCGCGGCGGTACACGTCTCCAGTGACGAGGAAGTGCGTGTGGCCGTCGCGCAGCAGCTGCGCCTGGTGTGCGCTGGTGTGCGTGCGCAGCACGGTGGCGCTGTCGATGTAGTATGTGTCGTTGTAGCTGCG